AACCCTAAACCCTAAGTGCCCTAGACCCCTAAACCCCTAAACCCCAAACCCTTGCGGTAGTGCTTCAAACCCAAAAAAAAGAGAGATTAAACCCTAAACCCTATACTGTTACCCTTATTATGAAGTGCTTCATCCCGAGCCTTCGCCTGCTCCAGGGCGATGCTCGCACTCTGCGGGCGACTCAGGTCGTCCTCGAGGTTTCCCAAAGCTAACCCTAAGTTTCACTAAGGGTTGGGGTTTTAGGGTTTACAAGGTTTAGGGTTTTAGGGTTTATAGGGTTTTAGGGTTTTAGGGTTTTAGGGTTTTAGGGTTTAGGGCTCAGGGCTTATAGGGCTTAGGGTTTAGGTATAGGGTTTAGGGTTTAGGGCTTCAACCCAAACACTTAAGCCCTAAACCCTAAACCCAAACCCCTAAACCCTAAACCCTAGACGCTAAACTCTAAACCCTAAACCCTAAAAGTCTTGGGGACTAGTATTGAGCAAGTTTCGGGCCCAGCTTTGTGGAGCCTGGGGCTTTGGGGTTTAGAACTTTACCCTGAGCATCAAAAGAGCCAAAAAACCTCATATGATAGGGTCTTTGGGCCCAAAAGCCTTAAACATCTGAGTCCTTTGAGAGTGTTAGGGTTTAGGGTCACGCGGTCCGACGTGGGTGTTGCTCGAAACCCCAAACCCTGTGATGAAGCCCGAAATACCAAACTCCTCAAACCCTAAACCCTAACCCCAAAAGGCCTAAAGCTTAAACCCAAACCCCAAAGCCTAAACCCTAAAGCCTAGACCCAACCAGCACCCCCCAACTACCATTCTACCCTAAATACCCACTATTAAGGACCATAAGGGCTCTATTAAAGGCTACTTGAGGGTGCTGGTAACGCCTAAACCCTAAAGCCTAAAGCCTAGAGCCTAAACCGTAAACCCTTCATTCTAAACCCCGACATCCTCGAACCCCGGCCCTGGCGCCGGCAAAACCCCAAAACCCTTGAGCCTTACCTTTCCCCCAAACATCCTACCTGTTTAGGGACTATAGGGTTTAGGGTTTAGGGTTTGGGGTTTAGGGTTTGGGAGTTGGGGGAGCCCGAAAGGTTCGAAAGGCCCTGCAGGACGTTGAAGACAAAACACACAACCGTCAGAGAAGCAGAAAGCACCACCCAAAAAACATACCCAGACACATACAAACCCCTAAACCCCTAATTGAACCCCAACCTAGGCCCCAAATCCTAAACCCTAAACTGGGCCCTAAACCCTGCCCCTAAACCCTAACCCCCCTCAACTAGGCCCTAAACCCTAAACCCCCAAAAGCAGCAGCGCGATCATTCGGCACATCGAAGGACCCTAAACCCTAAACCCCACAAGCAGGCCCCAAATCCTAAACCCTAAACCCTCAACCCTAAACTAGGCCCTAAACTCTAAACTCCCAAAAGCAGCAACGGGATCTAAACCCTAAACCCTAACCCCATAAAGTGGGCCCTAAACCCTAAACCCTAAACCCTCAACCCTAAACTAGGCCCGAAACCCTAAAGTAGAGCCTAAACCCAAAACCCTAAACCCAAAAAGTAGGCCCTCAACCCTAATCCCTAAACCCTAACTCTCAAAAAGTAGGCCCTAAAAACCCCACCTCCAAGGATCGCCTGGCTTCGGCCTCGGGAGTCTCAAAACCCTTTCAGGCCCGAGAGCCCTAAGGGACCGGTTTCGGGTTTAGGGGGTTTCGGTGTTCATAGGGGTTTATAGGGGTTTAGGGTTTTGGGGGTTAGGGATTTAGGGTTTAGGGATTGAGGGTTTCTAGGGGTTTTAGGGGTTGAGGGTTTTAGGGGTTTGAAGGATTTTGGGCCAAGGGGTTGAGGGTTTAGGGATTGAGGGCTTATAGGGATTTCAGGGTAAGGGGTTGAGGGTTTATAGGGGTTTAGGGATTGAGGGTTTAGAGAGGTTTAGGGTTTATAGGGGTTTAGGGTTTTAGGGGTTTTAGGGGTTGAGGGTTTTGGGGGCTTAAGGGTTTTAGGGGTTGAGGGGCTTTAGGGTTTAGGGTTTTGGGGGGTTTTAAGGGTTTTAGGGCTTTAAGGTCTTAGGGGTTTTAAGGGCTTTAGGATTTGGGGGTTTAGGGTCTAGGGTTAGGGGAGCAAGGGAATTCTAGGGTTGTAGAATGGTAGGATTTCAGGGATTAGGGGTTAGGGATTCAGGGGTTGTAGAATCGTAGTACCTGGACCCCAAAAGTAGAATCGTAGTGGGAGGGTTTAGGGTTTATAGGGTTTAGGGTCCCCGAGAGTCTGTGGAATAATAGCCCTTTATCGGCGTTGGGCAAATACTTCACCGACTGCCGGCGGTGTAGGTATGATTTCGAGTTTAGGGTAGAAGCTCGATACGCAAGGGACGTACTATACGGCAATACGGATCCATATCAGGCTTCATGTTCCTCATTTAGTGGCTTTGAGGGGGTTCGTAGTACCTGTGGTTTAGACCCCAAGTACGAAAAGACCCTTAAAAGTACGGGCCCTACCTATACTCTCATACTATGAGTCCCGACAAGGTACTTTAACCTTATAAGCCCTTTTAGGATACATTTTGTCCTTAAGGGGGCGAGTCTTTAGAAGCTGCTTCGCCTGAGTGCCTTGGGGTTCCCAAAATGACAGGTCGACAGTGGTGTACCAGATCCTATGGGCATGGGGTGGGAGCTCTTGTGTAGGTGTTGGGGTAGCTGAGGGTGCAGGACAGGGTTTGGGGCTTGTTGGTTAAACCCTAAACCCTAAACCCTAAAAGCCTAAACCCTAAGCCCTAAAACCCTTAACCCTAAACCCTAAAACCCTAAACCCTAAAACCCTAAACCCTAAACCCCTAAACCCTAACACCCTAAATACCCTAAACCCGACCCTAAAACCGTTTCAGCGATTGGGCGCAGCAAGGCCTGGGATGAGTCTTTGAGCGTACTGGGGGTTTCCTCTCAGGGAGCTTGCAAGCATCCTTGGACGCTGTAGATCCTAGCCTCCCTGTGGGATACCCAAACGCCCGCAGATAGGGAGGGCACTTAAAGCTCTATGAGAATCATATACCAAGCTGTAAGCGACATTCCTTAGCGCAGGGCTTTCGGGTGTTCCTAAACCCTAAACCCGTAAACCCGTAAGCCCCAAACCCCTAAACCCTACACCTTAAACTTGTTAAGCCCATACACCGCGCCCTAACAGAAAAGCCCCGCTCCTCAAACTTGGCCTTAAAGTAGTCCCTACTTGGGTACTTTGGGGCCACAGTATGTAGTACTTGGGTGTATGGACCCTTAGGGGAAGGTGTACCCCCCAAACTCAGTTCCAAGAACTCAGGCGCCTGTGACACTAAACCCCTACAAACATGGTAGGTTACGGTTGATGATACAAATCCTGCATGACCCCATAACAAGGAATAATTCCCATGGTTTAGGGTCCTGAAGCCAATGCGGGATTTATATCATCAACAGTATGACCCCGCACTTTAAATCATATTGCCCCCACTGCAATGGAGGGTACACTCCTCTAAAGCCTCTATAAAACCCTGAAGGACGCGTAGCAAGACCTATAAGTCCAACAGAACTCCTTGACGAAGGGCTTTATTGAAGTCATTTGGGACCCCAACACCCAAAACTCCTATAAACTTTATACTACTGTTGATGATATAAACCCTTCATTCCCGCAAGGACCTTAAACTATGGGAATTGCTGGTATTCTCCTTATACTATTGGTAATGCAAGATTTGTATCATCAACCGTATCAGCTGTAATCAAGCCCGGAACGAAAGCGTAAAAGGAGCCCTTACAGCAACCCGTACAGTAATCCTGCAGGAACCCTAAACCCTATACCCCTAAAC